TGTCCAAGAACCACTTGACACAACTTTTGCATTACTATGGTATTAAAGACTCTCTTAAATGTCCTGCCTTGATCCGTATTCATAATTAAAGTTGGTGTCAAAAAGTTCCTGTCCTTTTTCATCATTTTTTTATAATTAAAATTTAACAGTCACGAGGAAGAAACAAGGGCAATAGGTACTTGTAATTCTTAAGAATATGAATAAATAAAAATAAATTATGTTATTTTTAAACTGGCAAGATACAAATATACTCACCAAATCCATTCACCTCTAAAGAAACGTTTAAAAGGGCAGGATAGGTTTTCGATTCATTCAACAACACCCTTATTTCTTTCAATAACCGCACGGTACTTAAAATAGTTTTCTCTTAGAACAATTACTTGTTCTTTCTTGAAGAGCTAATACATTTTAGCATATGTCAAGCGTGTAGATTTTAGTAAAAGTGAATCGTCCACATACGAGCAGTATACAAGCATAAATTATAGGTTTTAGTGACTAAATTCGCTTCTTTTGTGGCAAATATTTACATGGAAGATCGCTTTATTTTAACGTGAGCGATTTTGAGTGTATTTTCACTCTTCGGAAGTGGTAAATTTCGCTGTGGTATATCCGTAAAATGAATTTAAGTCGTTGACATTGCTATATAAGAGAAACTAAAACCGATAACATGTTGCAGATGTGTTTAGTTGTTTGGTGTATGTGTCCTCTATCAAAATGATATATCAGGTGCGTACATAAATACACTTTTGTATTGTAAATTCCATATTCACGTGTTAGGGTGACTTGCAGCAAGGTTACATTCGAATTTTTTTGGATTACACCCCTAAATTTGTTCAGGGAATGAATAAGAATTGTACAACCACTAGTCTAAAACCGAACTGATTTTGAGGACTTTAGCAAATGCTAATGTAGTTAATGAAAAAATCACAAATAAAATAACCCGGAAAGTATTCATACAACTTTTCGGTTTTCTGGACTTTCATAAGGTACAAATGTTTGGGCTAACATTTTAATAATATCCCAGCAGATTTCATACTCTAAAAATTCCGTTGAGAAATGGCAATTATTATATTCTTTTGTTTGTTTCAAGTTTAATAAAAGATTCGATTTAATATATGTAAGTGTTATACCAATAAAATTTTTAGTGCCTGTTGTTTGTCCTTTTCGGCATATTTTACGACACCTATGCCATCACAATTAACGAATATCATCAGCAAGAACTGTTGCAACAACACGAGCATTTACCAGAAGGACAGAACAAGTACAGCCCTCCTATTCCAATACTGCAGCAAGATTTCCATTTGGATCCCCATGGTTATAAGTTTAGGTAAAATATTCACTTATTTTTTTTTAAATGTTGCTTTTCAAACGAAAATTTAAATTAACCAAAATACCAATATATATATATATATTGCTAGGTCTCTAATGTACCTAGAATCGTACGTGGTTTAAAGATAACAGTAAAAGTAAGATTTTATAAATCGACAATTGTAGTACTATAATAGCAGTTTCATGTTTTCCCGTACTTTCTATATACAGGGTGCTTCAAAAAAATGTATACACACTTTGAACTTCCATAGAAAATTTATTTACCGTTCTACAAAGTTAAATTTCAGGAAAATAGAAAGCTGAAAGTCCAATGTAAATGAAACATAAATAACAAATGTTAATACTGTTCAAATTGGTGACCTACAGCATCAATACAATTCTGAGTACGAGTCACCACAGATTCTGTACATCGTATCAAAACGTGATACGTGAACCGGGATTTATGGGTAGCATCATTTGGTCGGATGAAGCCCAATTCAAACTTAATGGAACTGTCAATAGGCACAATTGTGTTTACTGGGGTGAAGAAAATCCTCACATTACAATTGAAAAAGCTGTAAATTTGCCTGGTGTAAATGTGTGGTGCGGTTTGTCTTCAAGGGGACTCATTGGACCTTTTCGATTTGAAGGCACTGTAACTGGTATTAATTACCTAACAATGCTTGCTGATTCCATATTTCCTGCCATTCGTGCATTATACGGTAATGATGATTTTTATTTTCAACAAGATGGTGCTCCGCCGCACTATCACAGGGACGTACGAGCTTACCTGGATCAAAATTTGTCGGGCCAGTGGATAGGACGCAGGGGGCCAATCGAGTTTCCAGCACGCTCTCCAGACCTTACACCACTGGATTTCTTCTTGTGGGGCACAGTAAAAGATGAGGTGTACAAACGTAAACCACGTAACCTAGACATTCTTTGGAATGAGATTCAAGCAGTGTGTAGAGAAATCTCATTGGACGTTTTGATACGATGTACAGAATCTGTGGTGACTCGTACTCAGAATTGTATTGATGCTGTAGGTCACCAATTTGAACAGTATTAACATTTGTTATTTATGTTTCATTTACATTGGACTTTCAGCTTTCTATTTTCCTGAAATTTAACTTTGTAGAACGGTAAATAAATTTTCTATGGAAGTTCAAAGTGTGTATACATTTTTTTGAAGCACCCTGTATATGTAACCCATCGCCAGAACAAGACAGCCACCTGCTGTGAAAGTTGAATCTTTTGGTAATTATAAAATTTGAGAGTAACATTCGATAAACATAAAGTTTAAAAAGAAAGAAAATGAAAGTTTAACAAGTCTCGATCTACAATATTACGACGACCACATTTACCAACACATAATACGTACATACGCATGTGGTACATAGTTCACATTATATTCAACATAATGGATCAGTTGTTCTATTTAATCAGTCATGATGTTTGTTCGATATTTTATAATAAGCATTGCTTACTTACTTGCAGTTATAAAACAGGAAATGGCATTGAAGCTGAAGAAATCGGGACGATCAAAAACAAAGGGGTCAAAGATCACGAGACAATAGTTCAGCAGGGAAAAGTAACATATCACGATGAACATGGAAAACCGATTACACTGGTCTACATTGCGGACGAGCACGGTTTTCAACCGCAGGGCAATCATCTGCCCACACCGCCACCTTTACCCCCTATACTTGAAAAGGCATTCGCCGAACATGCCCAGGCGTATGCGCAAGAAGAGGCATTTCATAAAAAGTACGCTCACGACAATCAGGAATTCGAATCAGATTATCAGCAACAGTACGAACAACAGGCACCGATTAATGAACATGTCGTCGAAGAACAGGAACAGGTGCATGACGAACAACCACACTATGCCACTCAAGAACGTTAGAAGATTAAACGAACCGAGTCCTTAATTAATAGTAATTGTTATCCTGTTGTTGATGTATACATATATTTATTACATTTGTTATGTTTTTATTATCGATTTCGTTTATACGAAAGAATGTTTGAATACAAAATATACAAAATTAATCATAAAGCGATATTTCCTCTTGCTGCTCTTCTTCCTCTTCTAATAAGTTAGTGTACAGTTCTTCTGGGACATTCTCGCTTCTTCTCCTTTGAATAACTCGAATGTATTCCGGAAAATAATTTGTGGCAATATTCTGAACGAACAACATGTAAGTGGAAGCAAGTTCGTACCATTCGCGAGTTCTTGTGGGCAAATCTAGTAACATTTGATGTACATCGACCTGTACGTCTTCTTCGTTTCCCTTAAAAGTTTTCTGTATGATTTTATTTTAATATTATATTATATAATGATATTGGGTTAGGCAAACTCACATAAAACGTTCTGTTTATAAAGTAAGTGGCAGCGTACGTTAGCAAAGACAACACCAGAAGCGTTTTTAATAGACAAACTAGGGTACCAGCCACTATTTTTACCACCACTATGGATGAAAATACCATCACCACAAAAAATCCAAATCCCATACTTTTACCCATTTAGTATTTGTGATTAGTCTTAAGTGGTTAATTTTAATTGTTTAATTTGTGTAATGTTCTTCGAGAATAATAACATTTAATTTTGAACTTTTTAACATTTTTTTGCCTTTTTAACCTATTCTAATTTCAAGTTGTCACTATGACACTATTAAAAAAAGAAAGCAGCCCCAATAAGACCCATTTGTTTAGTAAATTATTTGTATAGGAGTGAGTGACTTTAAAATTTCATGTGCCCCTGTTTTCCATTAAAATTTGGTTTAATACTTCGCGGTAAATATGCAGGGTGAAAAAACGTAAATTGTATTTAGATTATTACATCTTACTCAATAATATGTATATTATAAATAGATCGATTATCTATCGACTTTTTATAGCCGTGGATTGTTTATATTTTCAAAACCATTAAACTAAATCCGTAGTAACAGATATTGTAATGCTACGCTTTTAATTTTTTGTGTTGGGATACGGCGAGAGCTGCGAATTTACTTCAAGTTTCCAATTTTGAGTCGAATTTGATTTTGGGAGAATTGCAGCTTCACTGCCCACGATCTTCCCCCTTAGATCGGCTAGTAACATTACACAAGTCTTCCCAAGAATAATCTTCAAATAATACTGCTTATATTTATTTCGTAACGAATTAATACGTAAATGAGCATAATACACAATAATTCGTTCGTTTCGAAATAACAGTCAAATGTACATTATTGCAATGCAACACGCGACAAGACAAGACAATAATAATGGGACTCGTACGGTTATAAGTCTAGCACCTAATACAGTAAGTTAGGTAAGTACAATAAATAAGATGTAAAGTGTAGCTTTCAGTTTAATATCTTCGTCCGAAAGACCTTGCTGGATTTGGCCTGACTACGGGTTGGACAGCTGGTCTGTAAACGGGCTGTTGAATGCTCGCTGCTGCAGCCTGTTCTTCTTCAGGATGAGCTGCGTTCCACTCCAAAGACCTTTGGATGGCTTCAGGAATTGGTGGCGGTGTAGGCAGATGGGCTCCTTGAGGTTGGAATCCTTCTTCGTTTGCGATGTACTGCAACGCTATTTGTTCACCTTCGGGTGCAGTGAATTGAAACGATCCCTGAGCTTCTGGGCCTGCTTCATCCCCGGCCCCTTTTATTAAACCTTGTTCTTGAGCTGAGATACCATTTCCAGCTTCGTAACTGTAAATATTTTCGGTTTATGTATTTGTATATTTTTCTGTATCGTGTTACGTTCCCGCCTGCTAATGATGCAGGCGATGAAATCATTAGATATATCTACCTCCATCTCCAGGAACCGTCTGGGTTAGGACCTTCGCTTTCGTATCTTACAATAGGGACATCTTTCTGAGGGAATGCGATTGTTACAGCAACTAACAGTGGAAGCACGAGTGTTTGAGATGTCATCTAAAATAAGTTGTTTTAGAGACTATGCCATCATAGGGGATACATCCTAGAGGATAATTCTGTCACGTAGAGGGATAATCTGTGTTGTTTCAATAATCGTGAACACTCAATTGTTTCAAATTTATAAGGCTGTAGTTTTTGTTAAATGATAAATTACGATTTAAAACTGAGTACACTTTAGTAGTATGATATTTCACTTATTGCATATTTCCTATCACATTATACCCTCCACCCGCCCCCCTTCCCCAGATAGTTGAAGTTTTAAGTGCAAAAATATGGAGTTTCATAGTTTGTTTTTTGGAATTTTTTGAGTTTTGACTTGGCATAATTTATTGTAGTACGATAAGAAGTAAAATAAGAATTTTAGAGTTGTATCCTTATACATGAATTAAAGTTAAAAGTGCCATTTTTAAAACGAAATTAACCCACTCGAATTAATAAACGAATACCAAAGCAGTATAGCAAATTAATGATGATTATAGTTGCTATTTTATTAATTCTTATTATCACAACTATTATAATGAAAAACAGCACGTTATTTGTATTCTCAACTTTAACTGTCTTGGAGAGTTAAAATAAGGAAGTGCAACTGTTCCCGGGGGGCGCCGAATAAAAAGTTTGAAGAAAAAGCACCTTCTGCACACTGTTCTACTTATCATAAATACGTACCATCATTATCACTTTTATATACAACTGTTTAACCGTTCCTTTTTGTAACGAACTCTATTATTCACTTGTATGAATATCAAACGATAGACTGTCCCTTGGATGGAAATTTTGGAATTTATAGTCGTTCCTCGATATTATCCCTCCCTCATCTGTACAAATGCACCATCTTTAATACATGCGAAGGTCTTTTCTAGCGGCTCTCATTGCAGAAATTACATACACATTATATACATGCATTCGTATGTGTATGAACTTTAAGGATTTTGTTGTGACGAAATACTCATCAAAGGCGACACACCGATTGCGAACTATGACATTTCTTATAATATCTAATTATTATGTCAGTTTATGTGAGGTGCATCTCGGAATTGTTATCTAACATCTTTGATAGGTCCACCTGTGATTCCTGTTCGATGCCACTGCTACCCAATACGTATTCCTTTTTTTCTCGATCCGGTTCAATTTTTTCTAGTAGCATAATATATACACGTATGGAAATCTATGCAGTATTTGCATTTATACAAACAAAGAAATGTCAGGTGAATGAATGAATTCTATTTTGCCATTCACTTACAACGTAATCCTTAAATGATGATACTTCATCGATATGCAGACATGAATATTTTATTTTAAAAAATTACACTGAGTTTCGTTTGGACTTAAAATATCCTTATGTTGTACATAGGTGTTTCAAATTATTGTATTAACATGTTTGTATAATTTGAGGATGTCTGTCCCATTATTCATTATGTACATAATCTATTATTTCACACTTTCTAAATTACTTTAATGTTTATATATCAAATTCCTTCTATTTTTTTGCAGAGATGTGTGCACCTAAAATCTTTCGATCGTGTTTTGTATTTGCCTTGAGATAAAGAAAGATTTGCCATTTACTGGCAATTGTAATTAACTGGATTTACGATTAGTAACACCCCCGCTTGGTTATGCAAGCATTTTTATTAAAAAAATCACCTTTTAAAACTTTCTCCTTTGGTAATTCCGAAATAATTAATTAAGTAAAGAAAAGAAAAGAAGAGTGTAGGGTGCAGTAAATAGTAAAAATAAAACTTAGTAATTATAAGCAACGATGTTATTTAAGTGTATATTTAGGTGTAACTATTTTCTTTTAGTAAGAAAAGTTACGGTAAAGTCCTATTGTTTCGTTTGCATTATTATTGAGAAAGATTGCAAAACACGATGATCTTCTACTGAATTCCTATAACAAAACGCAAGACGTGTATCTAAGGTCAAATCATTACATTTAAAATATTTATACATGTACCTAAATATGTACTTGTATCTTACATGTATTGTATTCGTTGTTTTAAAACGTTAAATAGCGCAGAGATGGGAGAATTTATAAAAAGGGTGCGTCGAGTAAGAGATTTCTATACTCTGAGAGGAAACCAATTCTGCGAATGTACCGTGAAAGATGGTATTATAATGTATTTACAATAGAAGATGCGAAGTATGAAGCGACTCCTTATTCCAAACACTGAATAAAAGTCAAAAATTATTAGTTGTTTTCTAAATAACATTTAAATGTTTTAGTTTTATCGCTGTCTGTATCTATATCTACACAAATATGAAGTTATGGTTAAGATTAAAATTGTTCTATTGCTTACTGCAAAGTTGGGTAGTTTGATTCCTAACTGCAATTCTTATTGATGCACGTACAGTAGTACTACATTAAAAATTGAGTCCATAATCCAACTCCGTAATAAAGGAGTCATACAACGTTTGAGTTACAAATAGTTTTTGTAAATATGAGATACGATAATTAATTGGGCAAGTATGTCTTCTTCAGGAGGAAAACTAATCTAGATTTAAATGTCTTTAAACGAAGCAGGGTAGAGAGCGGAGTGGAGAAAAAATAAAACTACTAAATTTTAACAACAATTTCATCATTAGGATTAATCCTAATTTACTAATTTCTAGAATTTCTAGCAAACTTAGCTGTATAGTTGTATCATCCAGTAATCAGGATTTTGTCATCTATTTGTAAGAACACTGTGTGATAAAAAACAACTCTGTTTTAACTAAATCGCATCTTTACAATACGTAATTGACTTGATGTTTGCAGTCTTTTTTTAATTTTGTTATTGTCCACCAAAGAAAAAAGGATTCTATATTATTAAATATTATCCTTGCTGGCATTATTTAACGTTGATATAATATATAGGCAAATTAGGACTTCTGTGGGTCACACTACTGTTTATGCATAAATACTTTAATATGCATTACAAATTAATAGATATATTTAAATGTTTATATCGTTTATTGCAAATAACATTTGTACACATAGGAGTAGAGAGTTTAAAATTAATTATAAGCTCTCAGTGACCAAAAATACATGTAATTATATGTACCACACAAATACTTGGTGACTTAAATATAATAAACATTAAACATATTATTGTAAAAAGGCTAATCACAGTACCGTTTAAAGTTTTAAAAGTTTCGATTTCTACAATTTTTCGTAGCGTTTGTACTGACCGTCGTCTTCACCTGGGATCTGATTTATATCACTTCCGTCTTTTGGAGGATTTTTGGCATCTTCCTCCTATAAAACAAAAATTCTCGTGAATTACGGCCTTACAAAACAGTACTGCATGATACAATTAATACTAAGGATAAGCATGATAGTACCTCTTGCGCTCTGATACCGGCGAATATTAGATCAAGACCCTTTTGTATTTCCGGGCTGACTGGTGGTGGGGTCGGCAAATGATCCCCGCTTGGATGAAATCCTTTCTCATCGGCTAAATATGTGACCGTTATAATTTGTCCTTCGGGCGACGTATACGTGTAAGATCCTTGTTGAACCTGTCCCCTCAACTCTTCACCTTCTTTCTCCGGATCAGGTCCCAAATCTTTCAAATAGCCTTCTTCTTGAGCAAGAATATTGTTTCCAGTTTCCCATCTGCATATGGTAATAAAAATTATCATTAATTAATAACTAATTAATGTCTTTCGTTAAACGTATCTTACAATGCCTTATAACTTCCGTCCTGCCCCTGTTCTTTGTCGAACCGAATGATGGGAATCGGGCTCGTGTATTCCAAGGGCCTTTGCCTTTCGTTCGATGGTTGTTCGTATCTCTGTTGTTGCGGCAGTGGTTCAGGACGATTGTATTGCGAATCTTGATCGTCTTGATATTTTGCTTTTTTCGCAAAAGGCTCCTGGGCCCAGCAAACATTAACAACAAGTGCAATCGTTGTCACGAAAATCTACAATTCAAATGTCACATATTATCTTGTTATTATTAACGTTGCCGTCGTGGTCGTTACGTAACAAGATTGAATTTATGGGAAGGATGAACTTTATTAATGAACATTATCGGTTAAGAAATGCCAGATGATTCTCTTATACCTAAATACATATATCTTACTATGTGTTGCATTTACGATTAGTTAAAAGCTCACTATAAGTAATACATATGTAATGTATTGAGCACGTATAAAAATGGGAAGATGTTGCAAAGCTTGTTGTGCAATTCCGAAAGATTCTTCGAAGATGCTTGCGGACTATGACATTTTACCGTTAAATTACACATGTATATATCTGTGTACAGTACATATTGGTATATAAACAAAAACCGTCCAAAGTGATTAACCTCACTGGGTCGCATCATTGTGAAACGATGCGTTTTGCTCATAAAGATAATTAAATTAAAATATATATTTTAAAAGTTAAAAATTTCAAATTTTATCGAAATTGTAGCAATTTTCTGTTCTTTTTATATGTTAAAAATCGTTCAAACTAAATACCATAAATAATAAATTAAATTTAAGAGATCGGCACTAATGTTAAGTACAATTTTTGTTGCAGAAGAAATGCCTCCTTTTATGTACATTAACTAAATTAAAAGTAAATCAAAAAGGCCTTTTGTAATGAAATTAAACTTATTTATAAACAATAACAATGGTAATTAGCTTACATTGTAGGAAATACGGCTTGTTTGTGGGTTATTGTATTATTGTATAAATCAATGTAAGACTTACCGATGTCTTCATTTTGGATTCGTTCGCTGTTGTCTTAAGGTTACTTACTATACAAGTTAACCTGAAGAGAAATCCGTATTTATAGCCACCTCTTCTTCTATCATTCCACCTAAGAACTTATCATCTCCGTTAGTAGGTACTTCATTTGTGAAACCATAACTGATCGTTAGGGAATAAAAAGATCAAGGAAAGTTACAGATTTACTAAATAATCACATAATACTTTATCGTTACCTAAACGGATAAATATACACGTGTATTTGTAAATGTTGTAAGCGTATGTATAATCACATACGTTTGATAACATAAAAGATAACTAACCACAAATGATAGTCGTGAATGATATATGTACAGATGTACACCCCTTCAAAATCACGGAAATTTCTTTTAAATAAGAAAACATAATCTGAGAAAGCATATCACAAACAGCAAAACATAATTAAAAATAAAATTCAAAGTTGATGATCATCATTTCATAAATTTAATTTTAATACATGATATCGTATTCTACTAGTGTAATGACTGTTGAGACTGTAGAATGATAAAAAGTATCCTCAGTATTTCTTGTAACTACTCTTTGAAAATGATCCTTTGGTCGAAACATATGTTAAAGATTTAACATTAAATTCAGCGAAACTACCCCACTGTTTTATTATCCTTTTTCTTTGTGATGAAAAAACAACATGTCAACTGTATTTTCGGCACGTTCTATTAGATAGGATTTCTTTTATGTGTATATCTTTTAATACAAAAATCTACCCTTTTTAAGTGATAAATTAGTGACAATAGTCATACAGTTCTTTAATAAACCTCGTACATTTGCATTAGCATATTCCTATTGCTATTGCGATTGATGAAATTGAAAGGATGTGCGTTAGATGTTGCCATTGTGTGTGACATTTTAAAAATAGAGACGATGGAAATGCTTCTTGTTCCAATTTAAATACATGTAATATATGAAGTGGTCATCAAACTTTCACCAAAATATTTGCAAGATTTTGGTGAAATATATGCATATATATATACCATCTAGCTGACTGATCCATAGGAAAACAACGTTTTAGGCATGGTTTATGTTTGTATGCCGCAGCTCTTTATCACTTCGATAATTAAGTTTTTATTATTACGTATTCAATTTATTGTTTTATTTATACATATTTTGTGTTGTACAAATTAATGTTTTACATATAAGTTAACATACGGAACCGCCTGCAAACAAAGTATGTACTTATTGACATTCAAAATAAAAAATTTCTTTGATAAATCTTCACTAAAAAAGGCGAACCGTCGGTGTTGGTTCATTAAAAAAAATTCTTCTGCCCCTATCTTGTCTTTAATTTTGACACTTTTATTGTAATGACTAATTATATGATAGAAAAAAACAGAATTTGTTTATGTAGGGAGTATAAAAAGTGAAAAACAGGAGTTTTTTAACGACAGTTATAACTCTAAATATGACTGTAACAAAAAAGCACAAAAATTTTTATGTTTACATCTTATAATCCACTACAATTGTGTAAGCATTCGTAGGTGTGACAAAAATTTAATTGATTTGAAAAACACAATGTTTCTTGCATTCAAAATTTTAACTGTTTTTGGGAACCTTTTAATATTAATATTAAGAGCAGGATTATGTTTTTTATACANTTGTTATTTACGCCATCTCGGTTGTATTAGCTGTGTTAGTTGTTAACAAATAAGTTTCTGCAACATGCATTTGTGAATCCTACACAGTTTTACTTACTTAAATTGGAAAGGAAAGATATTCCGCGCATGTTCAATTGAATTCTTTGTAAAATCAACCAGTTCCCTGTAACTTTCATAAAAAACCGCTTACGCTTTAGCTGTTCTTTCTACAGATGTCTCATTGAAAGATTTGAATGCCTTCAAGGAATTTTTTATTAACTTCATCCATACATACCATTACAAAAATATTTATATTATTTATAAATAGATAGGTTAATTTTCAAAAATTAACAAATTATTAAACTATTGTTGCTTATAGTAATTAGACTGGGCGAATGCTGCAGGATTTTGAACGTCCTGCGGTGACGCTGCAGACTCCTGGTTCGTTAATAAAGACCTTTGGAGGGCCCCAGGAATAGGAGGAGCTGTCGGTATGTGATCTCCTTCTGGTTGAAATCCGTTTTCATCGGCGATGTACCTTTTAATTTCATATAAAGAAAATAAAAAGTGCCAGTTGAATAACTGTTTCCGAAATTTATTGCTACCATACAAGGTGCCCAAAAAAATATTTCCTAAGACTTCAGATGTAGAAATTCTTTGGATTTTTGGATGATTTAGGAATTTTAAAAGAAAAGTAGATGCTATATCGTTTTTGATTTGATTTTAGAATGTTTTTAGTAGCTAATAAAATTGGTTATTGGTTAAATATAATCTCTGATATCGTTGTTTACCTCAAACTAATAAGTTGACCATCAGGTGCTGTATAGGAATACGATCCTTGGATAACCTGAATTACCGAATTGTCTTCGTCTCCCTCGATACTACTTCTTGATTGAACATTCGGATCCTGCTTTATGAATCCACTCTCCTGAACTTTAATCCCGTTGCCTGTTTCGTAGCTGAGTAAGAATCAGTTAGATCAGGCATTTATTTTTATCAACATATTATGAAACTTTAAGGCAGGTTTTTCTTGAAACAATTGCAAGAGAGTTTCTTTAATATAATTTTAAGGGGTCATACAGATATAGATCATCCAGGGAAAACTTAGTTTTCACGCAGTTTTAAAAGAAAATAAATTAAATTAGCCGATGGTACGCAATCCAATATCATTCTTCATATTTATTATGAAGGATTTATAGAGTATATGTGATATTTTTAATTGTGGGCGTATAGGCGTACATCGGCTGTGTAGTTAATTAAGATAACTTAAAGCATTTCCAATTACCTGAAATTAAAACTACCGTCGGCTCCAACGATTTCGGTGTGACTAATGATGGGAATGGGTGTTTGGTTTTGAAGAGTTTGAGCTTGAGGAGCAGCNAAAGGGCAGAGGTAAACGTAGATTACGTTAAAGCTAGCAAATAATTATATTATTAGAGATGTAGGTTGTTCCAGTTTTCGAGAAATGCTAAGATTGAGTCAAGAAGATCCAACCACTGTAGGACTGACTACAATGTTAATGAGTGCTACATTTTTATATACTTATAAAAAAACCTGTCTACTTCTTTACAAGCTAAAAATATTAAATAATCAACTCAAGATCGTTGCTCATTGATTTTATTTGTTTTAAATACATATACAATAGGTAAATTAAATACTTGTGTTGTAAATACAAAAAAAATAGATTATCATTTTTGTATTGTATTTGAAGAGTCGTTGTCCGTGTCACAGCGGTTTGTAATCATCAACAGGTAAAGATAAATATTCCTTCTTATAGACTTTGCCCTTATATAACTCTTACTTATCTTAAAGTCTCTCTAGATGTTTATGGGAATATTTTATCGTTCAGGATACAGGATTACGTATCGTTAAGGTTGAATTGCTTAGAGTAATATTCAAAAGAATACATATCACAAAATGTCAATCATTCAGGTCCCTTTTCCCAGATTGCATCACAATTACGATAAATATATCCTTTGGTATATATTATAGGATATATTTTGTCCAGTTTATCGTCACTTTTACTTACAATATATATCCACATGTTAGCAAAATTTGACCGACACTTCACTGTAATTTCAGATAACACCGTAAAAGAATACTACGGCATCGGAAATAAAAAATTTAGTATTTATAGGAAACAATGTTTGCTAAGCCCAAAACAAACATTTATGACATGTGCTAAGTAATTTAACCTTTTACAGGCGTATGTGCTTTTACACACGCGTACGTATATATTGTGGAAATATGTTAGTATGAAAGGAGAAGTGTGGATATATGTGAGTAAGTATTTTACATACTTCAAACTTTTTTGTTTAAACATTGCATCAAAAATGTCAGACATAATGACACAAATTTTAAAGGCCGTTTTCTAAATGAAACGAATTCACCAACATACACACGTAATACAATCCCAGATTATTCTGAAGTATGTAACGAATGAAACTTATAAATCGTATTTCGTCAATTGTTTTAATAAATATTTCTGGGGTGCAGAAATTAATTTTCAGTCTTTTTATTTCGTTAATTTATTGTGTCATATAGTTACATACAGAATTATAATATTTACATATAAAAAAGTATCGATCACACTCATTTTATCAAGTTCTTTCCAAAGATGAAATAAGAATTACAGAATCACGCCGTTTCCACTGCATTATCTTCCGTGTACGGATGCTCTGCAGACCATACGAGAGCTTTAGCGATTACTTCCGGTATTTTAGGGATATGATCTCCTTCTGCATGGAATCCGGTCTCGTCAGCGTAATAAGACACGGCATACAACTTTCCGTCGTCGCCAACGTATTCGTAGCTTCCCTTAACTACTTCCCCAGCATTTTTTTCGTCAAAATATTTCAAAGTGCCTTCTTGTCGTGCTTTAGTGCCATCCGCTCCTTCGAAACTAAAGTGAATACAGTTACTGATAATTCCAAATGAAAAGCTTTACCAAACATTTTTAAAAATACCTATGTACATGTATGTAACTGATTTCCCTAAAACGGCTTTAAGGATTTTGATGAAATTTGCAGGATATTGGTGGTTTGGGATGAAAATTCAATTTAAAACGGTCTCGTTTTTAGGAGAAATCGCCTTTAAATGCATACGAAACAACTTATTTGATAACGAACAATACTAAAATATTCAACCAACACAAATATCTTTCTCGAGCAAAGCTCGGTCTACCTAATATTGATTCTCTAATAGAAAAAGAGCTTTTTCGAAGTAGACCTTTTCTTGTAAGTCATGTTATGGCATACCAAAATGAAGCTTGTAACTCCTCTACTAACCATTTATATTCCATTACCTTTTCCCTTCTGGATAAGCAACGTGGATTATTGCGTGCTTGGTACAGCAATGTCTGGATAATCGGAACCAAACATCCAATTACTTCTGTAATCTCAACGCTCAGTAATATCTTAATCACTAATGCAATCGTGTCCCATTGAAATTTTTGGGATTATAAAATGTACGCTTCGGATTTTAGAGTTTATTATGAGCAGGGTCGACAATACAGGCTAGTCCATTTAATAAAGGGCTGTTTTCACTTATAGACGCCTCGAATTCCTTTGGGTCATTTACGTATCTCTTGATGCTCCGACTTGAAAGGACTTAGGTCGATTGCAACTAAACCAACCCCGGGAAATCGCGTGATAACTATTAGAAGCTACTTTTATGAGAATTGAGGATGGAGGATGAAGGAATAGCTGGACCACTTCCGCTAATATGTGTGCGGGTTAATTTTTTTTCCTTATACATGTACGTAGGTGTAAGGTGTAATTACCTATAATGAAAAGATCCGTCTGGTAACAGTTCGCTTTCCATTGTAATTATTTCGACAGGTGGAGATTTTGTTTTCGGTTCCGATGGAGCTGATGTTGGCGTTGGTGCTGTAAAAACGGCACTCGAACTCAACAAGAAAACGATCAAATGAGACAACATTTTGAAACTTTCGCTGTGTCAACTGCTGCGTTCAACGACTAATTACAATAACATAAATGTTGGTTAAATTTTCGGGTGTTTATATAGGTACATTATATGTAGAAACAATGTAACTTTTCCCATACTAAAAATAGAAGATGTAATAAGCAGTAAACGGGTTTTTGAAGGAGCGGTAGCCGATGCTTCATGAAAATATATTGATGATGTTTTTTAATGGGATTAACTAACTACAAATTCTACATACGTTCATCTATGTACACACATTCACGTATGAAACGATTGTCTCATCGTTACCTTCGTGATTATTTTTAATAAAAGTCACTTTTAAGTTTGTATAAACGTGGACATCTCAAAGATTCATGCTGCGTTTCTCATAATATAGTAAAGTTAATTATAATTTATAATTCAGTTATAAACCAACGTAGAGTGCAAACTGAAATGCACAAGTGTTTCTCGTTTCTTAACAAAATTCACACTACTCGCACTTACAAAACAAAGAATGAGTTAAAGATGTTGGATCAAGTAAATGCGTGTTATATGTGTTCACAACAAGACAAATATTAAAAGAAATCAATCAAAAACAGAATTTTTGATTTGTAAATTTACACTGTTACGCCTTTCCTAGAAAACCTCTTCTAAGGNTAACTAACTACAAATTCTACATACGTTCATCTATGTACACACATTCACGTATGAAACGATTGTCTCATCGTTACCTTCGTGATTATTTTTAATAAAAGTCACTTTTAAGTTTGTATAAACGTGGACATCTCAAAGATTCATGCTGCGTTTCTCATAATATAGTAAAGTTAATTATAATTTATAATTCAGTTACTTCCTAGCTCAGGAAAAGAATTTTACAATATTTGATTTCGATTTAAAGTTCAAGCGCAGTAGTTGCTTATTAATAGAAGCATTAATTGACTCGCTTTCTATAATTTTATCTAATTGTAAGATAATCTAGATAAATAGGAATAATAATGATTTACTAAGCTTTTCAAATATTTATTCTTTTCTTGGCATAAGCGTAAAATCTAAGAGAAACATATGTGTCAAGTTTAGAAAATGTTAGAAGCGTTTAAGACATGGTATTATGGAGGATATGAAAAATAAGGAGCTTTTGAAAACAGTAAGAGAACAGAGGGCGCTATGGAAGTCTGGATTAAGTCAACAAGATAGGATACCTTCTCACACTTGAAAGATCAGATTTAGATATGTATGTATTAAAAGCAGAAACAGTTAAAGATAAAAAGGGCAGAGGTAAACGTAGATTACGTTAAAGCTAGCAAATAATTATATTATTAGAGATGTAGGTTGTTCCAGTTTTCGAGAAATGCTAAGATTGAGTCAAGAAGATCCAACCACTGTAGGACTGACTACAATGTTAATGAGTGCTACATTTTTATATACTTATAAAAAAACCTGTCTACTTCTTTACAAGCTAAAAATATTAAATAATCAACTCAAGATCGTTGCTCATTGATTTTATTTGTTTTAAATACATATACAATAGGTAAATTAAATACTTGTGTTGTAAATACAAAAAAAATAGATTATCATTTTTGTATTGTATTTGAAGAGTCGTTGTCCGTGTCACAGCGGTTTGTAATCATCAACAGGTAAAGATAAATATTCCTTCTTATAGACTTTGCCCTTATATAACTCTTACTTATCTTAAAGTCTCTCTAGATGTTTATGGGAATATTTTATCGTTCAGGATACAGGATTACGTATCGTTAACAAAATTTACCCTAGTGAGATTCGCTAATATTTTCCTTACAATCATTCTATCGAAGTATCAATGCCTTATACTAAAAATTTATTAAATAATATTTTACGTGTAACTACTATTAATTAAGCAATATACAAATTGAGCGAACACAATTTTGGATGTCATTTTTGTGTTTACGACAGCTTAATCATTTTTATTATTAATGGCCTTGTTTTGTTCTCTTATTATATTATAATTATCTGCCAGCCCTTTCTGTGGTGGAAGGCTGGGAAAGTATCCAATCCAAAGCTTTCTGAATTGCGGGAGGAATCGGCGGTGGTGTTGGCAGATGAGCCCCTTGAGGTTGAAAACCTCCCTCGTCGTCGGCGACATAAGTTAACGAAATTTGATTGCCTTCCAAGTCAGTATAGGAATATGACCCCTGGGCAACTATGGCATCTTCGTTGTCTGGTTTTGTGGCTTTCTTCAAAGTCCCCGTTTCCTCGGCCTTTATGCCGTTAGCAGTTTCATAACTGACGATGAGAAAAATGACAGTGCAAGTAGTAACATTAAAACGGATTCGTACGTGTACGTGTATGATCATTGATCACGCAATGACTTTGTATTTTCCACATTAATAAGTGAACATGTTGTTTAATAAAAGATGACGCGATGAAAAACTGCGCACTACGATATAAATTACAAATTACTAATTGTACATGAACAATTAATTTGTAATTAGGTGCCCAGTATATGCAGAATGATAATGAAATGACACTTATAAAATTACCTCCAATGGTATCCCCCATCGGGATTAACGTCGTTGTTGTAGCTTATTATTTTTATAGGCTCTTGCGTCGCTTGAGGCGCTCCGCTTGTTGAATAGAAGACAGATCCAAGACATATACAAATAACCTACATATATTAAAATGAATATTAATTTTAAGTTACTAACGAATACATTTAGTATTTATCATTCGTAACATTATAATTTGCAGAAAATTGAAATGCAGTACGTACTTATATGAACAATATTGACCTAGAGTTCCAATTACACAAAAATGAAAATAACATTTAGAGCTTTAAAAAACTACAATTGAAAAGCAAAGTACAAATATCGTTCTCTTTGACTCAAGTAACTCAAGTCGAAAGGGCCATAAAAGTCATGTTCTTTCTTTATTACTCGCACCTTGCATTTAACTAAAAAAAATTACTGAAAATAGTTGATTATACAACAGAAAATTTCCAAAATATTTCGTCTAAAATAAAAGACGTTCTTTTCAGGGTGATTTCCATAGTAGAAATCTTTCATACTGCACACAGTTAATGAGAATACCTTCCTTTTCGAAGAAGTAATTTTTTTATGCATATATTATACAAGGGTTCTTTAGATGAAAACCAATAAGAGTAATTAAAAGAATCTTACCAGCAGCCAGTCCATGACAAATGTGGTAAATACAATAACTACAGAAATATCACACTGAATTTGATCACTATTACTGGCTATAATGTTTAAGTAGGCACATTAAGATGAAATGATGGTTTGGTAAGATTTACTTACTGGTATTAATTCTGTTGGATGGTGCGTTATTGTAGGTACTTATATATACCTAGTGTATGTAATTGCTCCCCCTACACTCGACCGATACAAGATGTGTTTTGTTACAACACTTGAAACTTTGAAATGGCATCATTATTTGTTGTCTTCCATTCTTGCGTTAAAAGCCACATTAACTTAAACAATGCATTGAGAGAGCCTATTTGCTACTTTATTCTTCGACCATCCCATCTAGCTTGCATACATACACACATATACATGTATACGTACATGCTTTCATATATGCATTTTGCTACGTGTTTTTAATGTATGTCTTTACCACAAAGCAATAATGATGCCACAGTTATGTTAACCGTATGATAATCTCTGATAAACTGACATTTGATGAAAAGAAGCACTGAAATGCTTGGGTGTGTATAGGCCGAGAAGAAGATAAGAAAATTAAAAATTATGTGCTGAATTTTCTGAAAAAAACACTCCGAACATATTCAAATTTTTCTCTAACGCTTATTTATTCAATTACAAATTGAATATGTTTAATGTACACAGTGATGTAGTCTGATTAATATGAAAAATTTCAGAAATAAAGTAAAATATTTAAGTTTTATTACAGGAAACGTATCATGAAACGTTCTCTCGTTTCTTTTTGGATAAGCCCTTAATTAAAAATCCGATCCTTCATCCAGAAAATAATCCATGACTTAATTTCTAACAACTTTATTCATACGTTGTTCTATCGTTTGTTTATTCTTAAATTAATGTGGATGAAAATGTCTTAAAATTCTCGAAAATTTAAAGTACTTAGTTTTCATTAATTGGACATAAGAGGGAAAGGTCATATATCAAGTAATCAGTCGATAGTTGACTATTGTGCAAACGAATTTAGTTCTTTGTAATGTGTTTTGTAGTAAGTTTCTCTCGACCTTCGAAACAGCAATACACCTTTTAACAATACGATGACATTCGTAATAATTAATTCGCTAATTGCAGTTGTGAGTGTACATAAAGTTTCTTAAATTACTCAATTTGTTCTTTAAAATTTTTGCGACAACAATTGCATGTCTTATATAAGTAAATGTATAAGAAACAAAAAAAAAAGAAATTAGACCCCACGGGACGCCTTCCAGAAATGGGAAACATCGAAACACAAATGAAATTAGTAAAAAGGAAAAAGAAGTACTCCAACTGGGGCCGCCCGTGTGGCATTCCTTTTACTCATGTGTGCGTATGTCCAAGAAAACGTCGTCCATTGACGCCATGCGATAATGTTTTAATAGAAAATAATATACAAATATAAAGAAATTAATCCAATAAATTTTGATTCACATTAATATACAGCCAATAATAACGTAGACTTAGGAAATAAAAACATTTTATGTGGCGTAACAATACTATAGGTACACAAAAATGGTTTTAGACAGTTACCAAATAACTGTAAGTTACATTTTTCTACTTATAACACTTACTGGTTAAGTATATATATATTATATGTTTTTAAGTTCAAGTTCCTGTCAGTAATGGAATCTGGTTAAGGTCAGATGAATTATGTAATAATAAGTTCATTCAATTTGTCCGTTGGCCTTCATTCATGAACGAGATCGACAAAATACGGCAAATATCGGGCAGATACACCATGGAAGTGATCCTTTATCTTATGTACAATTTTGTATAAAAGTATAAGAACAAGTTAACTACAGATGAATAATTGTGAACATACTGAAAAAAGGTTTGAAGAATCGCGCTGTGATTGCATGATACATCAATCCTTAGATCGTCGTCTCACTTAACCTTCGTTAAATAAGTAAACGATTTATCAAACCATCAGAAAAACTCGTACGAAAAGAATTTCACGGCAACAACGGTATTGATTGAAAGACTACTTAAAACAACAAAAAGCTTAATCAAATTAATTTTAACTTCCGTTGTCTTTTGGTGACACTTTTCGAATTGAAAGCTACACAAGTTTATTTACTACGATAAAATACCATGAAAATAAAAGCATTATTGTAGGTTTAATGTTATAAGGATCTAACAACTGTTTGGCATTGACATTTACTTGGCGTGACTGTAGCGATTCACACAAAAAAAGATCGGATCAGTATTTTTTTAATCTAAGATTCTACAAATAAAATTGAAAATGAAATACTTCAAAAGATTTCCTGACGACTACACGTAATTAAAAGATCATCTTTAAAACTGGTTCACCACGTAATGATTTTTGTTTTGATTGATTGGTAGGACGTTGATTCAGGCATAGTGGTATGTGGTCCAGTCTTCGGCTTATGTCAGTTCAACAGTTCTGTATATATCGGATTAGGTACAAGACGCTATTTCTTAAAAAGTGTATCGAATGATAAATTACTAAAAAAAAGTAGTAACTTTCTAAATAATCGTCTTCGTTCCTGAATTCCATCACCTTTATAGCGGTGCCATGAATTATGTTACTGTTACAACTATAGAACAGAGATATTCTAACTTCTATCCTATTATAAATGACCTTGGTTGCACATGCTTGAAGAATAACGAGAAGAAGCGTCACCAGCAAATCTTTTAACAAGGCATAAACATTAATAAAACGACAGATTAGCTAGGTAACAGAATATTGTAACGTCGAAGGCTATAGTAATTTTAAAACTGAGTAAAACTTAATTTAAAACTGACCCACTACTTACATGGGTGTAATATACTTTTCAAATCGTATTTTGAAACTTTTAATCAAATATCATTCTAAAATTCGTTTTTCTCGCATGATGAGACGAAGTTAATAACTACCGTTCGTCACTAAATGATTAAATTATATATTTATTGTTTATTTTTATTAATATTAATAAATATCTT